TACTCTGATCACCAGATCTTGAACATCTCCATAGGGTTTTATAGCCGAAAGCTTTACAAGAGACTTGATCCTTAGTCCTCGAGGAGCTGAGGATGTCTCACATCAAATATCTGCAGTTGCATCATCGACATCTTCGGATAAGGCAAAAGAGTTCATCGCTAAGACTAAGCTGCCTTCAGATGTTCGGAGCTACGGGTCTTATGAGGAATTGATTCAGGATAAAGACATCAATATCATTTACGTCGCAACACCACAATCTAGACATTACCAAGATGTTAAATCAGCGTTGGACGCCGGAAAGCATGTCCTTTGTGAAGTATGTGGACTATGGGGTGGATAGAAACTTACTAACGTCCTACCAGAAACCCTGTAGGCCTTCCCTTCAAAAGGGAGTCTTCTCCATCTCATTTAATGCCCCATTTTATATTAGTTACTATCAATGTCTTGCAAGCTATCCGCTTGGCAGAACTTGCAAGAGAGAAGCAGCTTTTCTTGATGGAGGCAGCTTGGACCCGCTTCTTTCCTATCACAAAACAAGTCCTGAAAATAATTCACGAGGAGCGTCGTATAGGGAATGTGCGTCGATTGATTGCAGACTTCTCTCTTCGCATAGAAGACGAGCGGTCCCGCCTACATGACCCCTATTTGGGAGGTGGGGCTCTGTTAGACCTAGGCTTCTATCCTATCACCTGGGGAAACTTGATCCTACATAATCACCCCGATAATCAGAGATCGACTCCAAGAGTTACTGCTACTATGGTCAAGACCAAGCGTGGGGTTGACGAATTCACCAGCATCACGCTTTACTATGAGAAACTCGGTGCTGTGGCTCATTTGACAACTAGCTTGGCTGCTAGGACGACTGCACCTCACGGTGTACTGATTCAGGGTGACAAGGTTCAGATAGTCTGCCAGAAACCATGTCACAGTTTGATGATTTTACTAACAGGGATATTTGGCACTCTCGGGGGTACCTTGTAGACCCGAAGAATGCACAATCAAATTGGATGGCCAAGAAGCCGAAAACATAAATGTTGAATATACTGGTCATGGATTAGCCTATCAAGCTGATGAATGCGCTCGCGCCATCCGGGATGGTAAGCTCGGGTGTTCAGATTCGTCTTTAGAAGATAGCCTAGCAATCATGGAAATCATGGATGAAACTCGCCGACAAGGTGGATTGTCGTTCCCTAGCGAGTTGGAGAGTGTGATATGAGGAATGAACTGTATTGGCTCCGAGTCTCGCCAACCATGGAGAGCCAGAAGTTAACTTGTAGATAGGGCATTGAGGTCTGAAATGGTAATATTCCAGAATGTCTATAGATGCGCAGTATTAGGATACACTTTTGCAGGAGCTTCGCTCTCTATATCGGCCGTCCGATCAAGCTTTAAGCCTGATACCAGGCCATGGGCCTCATCGACCTCATCTATACTGTGTCTTTCTCCCTCTATGTGTATATAATCAAGGTTGGACAAGTTGACGTCCTTCGAACTTGGCCTTTGGTCCGTCCGTTTCGTGAGCTGCAAAGCTGTCAGTGTATTCTAGGAGACACAGAGAGGTGACTTACTGCTACAAACACCGCACTGACGACAATGATGATACTTCCAATGATACTGAGGTAGGATGGCACCGTATGGAAGATCCAGCGTTCGGCTATGGCAGCGAATATTATCTGCACATATATACCCAAGGCACCCCGACTAGCAGTCTCACGTTGCAGACCCATCGTCAGGAAGAGCTGGGTGATGAATCCAAAAACTCCAATACCAATAATAAGAACAGCAAACATGAAATTCTGTGGCCAGACTATCGGAACTCGAAGGATAATCATTCCGAGGGAGGAGACAATGCAGCTCCAAATGCAGAAGAAAGAAACCGAGTGGAGTGGGTGTGCCCGTTTCCCTATGGCCCGGATCGAAATAACTTATGGAGGTATAAACTTCTGACCACGCAAGTAGGGATTACTTACAAGCACCAGTTCCTCCTAGAACACCTATCAATGCGACACTGGCACAACAGGTCAATAGATATAGCTTATACATGACGGATACTCACCCAACCGCTATCAGCCTTTGGGTTGGTGTCCCTTTCTCGGCCGGTGGTAGTTCCGTTTCGGACGGAGCACTATTTTGAGTATGTGGCCCAAACAGAAATTCCGGACGGGCAATGAGAACTACTCCCAAGAAAGAGAATACTGAGGGAAAGGTCAATTGTCATTCGTGACACAGGCTTGTTCACCTACGTCCTGCTACAATCTCCCTTCTATTGAGAGCTTCATGGAGAAGAAGATATCCGGCGATGGCCGTTGTTGTTGGGACAAGAAATGTGATGACAATGGCGTCCGATAAGGATAGGTACACCAACGAATAATATATTCCAAAGAGCCCTAGTAGGTAATGATGTCAGGAGTACTCGTACCAGTGAGCCGTGGATCTCGTACCAAAGAAACCAGAGACACCTCGTAAAATCAAGAGATGTCTAACGCCCGGTGGACCGGCTATAGGATGGGGGACGGAGGTCTCATACATAGTAGTGATCGAGAACAGGTATGTTATGAACTAAAGCAGGGGATTTGTGAGAGGTCACTTGTGAGGAGAACGCGAGCCTAACCATTCGAATAAAGATGATCTTCAAAGAATCACTCGTCAACGATCATTACACGGGGCTCTCTCGATTAGCTATGGCTTACCTCAAATGTGGGGACCGGAGGATCTATCGAGTTCAAAAGCTTTACTATCACATTCATGCATGTGCCGCTTAGCTACATAACGGATGCACTGGTATCAGTGGCGTTATGTTGGACAGGAGCAGGTTCGACCGGCTATTGCCAATGTCGGTCCTTACCTGTGAAGCTATGATATAAAGGAGACCAATATTGCTAGATAAAATGTCAGTTGGAGTTTTGTGGTTGCGGTGATTGCATCAGCTTTTTTCGCACTTTTGAAAAAGGCGTTGTGCGCCTTCCCAGCATGGCCACCTTCTTTTCCATCCTACATGGAAGTCTCGTTCATCTTGATCCTCGTTATTGTAGAACGATGCGGGGCCAAATCCAGCTGTAGATGGAGTCAGCGCTAGCGGTTGATAGCCCGTAGACATGTGCAGATAACGTTAGTCAGCTCGAGGAGTAGAACTGGCTGCCTGCCGCGTTGGCCTTAAGTCGGCACCTACTAGAGAAGGGATCACGTGACTTTCATTTTCAGACTTGCAAATACAAATAGACATTATACTACCACAATAAATAATAGACGATACACCCAAATTTATTTATGCTCGACAGATGCCTGGCTACAGGACCAGAAGGTTGATAAATAGGCTTCCAAAAAAGCTCGCAAAGTCCATGGGCTTTGTATATTCGAACGGATCCATTAAGGTTTTTCGGCTAATGCTGTGGCACATTCTTGAGCAAGGAAATTCTCGCAATTTCCGTTTATCTCGGAGAAGACAGATTGCGCTGTTTTGTTTTCCGAGAGACAGGCAACGAGTGCGGCTGCAAATAAAAGTTGTGACTCTGGGACAGCTCGATGACTTTCTTTGTGAGATAGTATATTGAGTATCCTTTCCGAAGTCGAAGAAATTTCTGG